AGGGTCCTGGAAGGCTCCCTCGGACCCTTCCGACGCTCCCCCCACCCTCCCACGGGTGCAGGGGGGTTAAAATCGCCAGCTTCTGGGAGTGTTTTGAGGCTTGGGAAGCCTCAAAACACTCCCAGAAACTAGATTTTGCTGGTGCTGGCCCTGTGCGGGGGGGGGGAGCATGGCAAGGGTCCTGGGAGGCTCTCTTGGACCCTTGCCACCCTCCCCCCACCCCCCCACGGGGCCAGGGGGGGTAAAATCACCAGCTTCTGGGAGTGTTTTGAGGCTTGGGAAACCTCAAAACACTCCCAGAAACTGGCGATTTTGCCGGTGCTGGCCCATGCGGGGGTGGAGGAGCATGGCAAGGGTCCTGGAAGTCTCCCTCGGACCCTTGCGACGCTCTCCCCACCCCCACATGGGGCCAGGGGGGGTAAAATCGCCAGCTTCAGGGAGTGTTTTGAGGCTTGGGAAACCTCAAAACACTCCCAGAAGCTGGTGATTTTACCCCCCCTGGCCCCGTGGGGGGGTGGGGGAGCCTCGCAAGGGCCCTGGCTCACCCGGACCCTTGCGCCACTCCCCCCCACGGGGCCAGCGGCGACGAAATTGCTGCCTTCGGTCCATAAGATGCACGGACATTCCTCCCCACATTTTGTAGGGAAAAAAGGGCGTCTTATGGAGCAAAAAATACGGTAATCTAGATTTCTATACACAACTCATCCAGGACTACAAATGGTTGGTCCTCAAGTGGCTCTGATTCAGTTCCGGCACAACAAGGCTCCTTGAAGTATCTGGGCAAAGATCTTCTCCCCCGTATACCTGATGTGTAACATTTTCACATGCATTACTTTAGCAGATGGCTGAGTTCCCGCATTTGGGAGGCATACACATGGGTTGTGGGATAAGGAGAGTTGTCAGAGGCCAAGTGTTGAAAGTCAGGACACTCAACTGCACAACATATTCCTGCCCCTGCTATGAAAAATGTATGGGGTTGTTCCCATATTCTCAGGCTTTGTTCCAGGAAGTAACACATATATTAAACTGCAAAGCATTTTCTGAGCTATAATGATGGCTGGCCTCAGTCACTCTAGCCACACATCCTGATCCAGTTGTAACAACTGGTCTGCATCCTTTCCATGTTTAAAACTAGTTGGAAAATGCTTCAAGAGCTTTGTTTCTTTTATTTATTTATTTATTTAATTTTATTTATGCCCCGCCCATCTGGCCTAAACGGCCACTCTAGAAATCGTAATGCAAATCATCTTTCTCATGCACCATGAAGCTTAAAGTCTTAACTTTTACTAATACATTCGTTTCACAGTGCAGCAAATATGTTTGTTTGCTTCACTGTGCCCTATTTTCTCACTTTCTTCTTTTCAAGGTTCAGGCCCTCTCCACATATGGTCTGCCTGAACTGAATCTTGAGGGGGTTAATGCGGGCATTCAGAAAAGGAGCTTCCCGGTGAAGCAAAGCAACATGTGCCGCTTATATATTGAGCCATAGCACTTAAAGCACTCTCTGGGCAGTTTCCAATTAAGCAGGCTACACATTCCCACCCCCACAGCAAGCTGGATACTCAGTTTACCAACCTCCAAAGGATGTAAGGTTGAGTCAACCTCAAGCCGGCTTCCTAAGCCCAGGATCAAACTCGGGTCGAGAACAGAGTCTTCACTGCAGTACTGCAGTTTAATCACTGTACAAGGCTTGCCAGTAGATCAGCTGCCACTAAGTGCAAAGTGGATAGTTCACAGTGGTATGAAGAAAATCAGAGACACCGAGAGACCACCTAAACAGGGCTAAGCAGCATGTAGAAACCCAGTTTACCACTGTATTGCTTGGCTGTGCCTGTGTGAAGTACAGTGGTGCCCCGCATAACGAGCGATTTGTTTAATGACAAATCCGCATAGCAATGTGTTTTTTGCGATTGCTTTGCGATGTTTTAGATGGTAAAACATTACTTTGCGATGATCGGTAAGCGTTTCGCTTACCGATTGTTGCATAACGATGTTTTAAGAACAGCAGATCGGCGGTTCCAAAATGGCTGCCGGGTGAAGAAAATGGCCGCCCGCTGTGTTTTCACGCCCTTTCCTCACTTACCGGGCAGCGAAAATGGCGGCCGCATGGAGGATTTCCACAGAACTGTGAGTTTTTTGCCCATAGGAACGCATTAAACGTGTTTTAATGAGTTCCTATGGGCTTTTTTGCCCCGCATAGCGACAAATCCACATAGCGGCTTTTTTTTCGGAACGGATTATCATCGCTATGCGGGGCACCACTGTAATTGGGGGAGGGGGGCTTGTCTCAGTTTCAAGTTGTGATGCAGGAGACTGATGCTGGCCCCAAAACAGGCTATCTGAGCAAAATAAAAACGAAAGTGCAAACAATGGCAAAGCCCCTGGCATGGTGTGGTGGAAAGGAACGTATCATGATCTGAGGGTGGGCTGACAAAGCAACCATCCTGGAGGAATCACACTTGCGTCAATATATTTCTCTCACGGCAGAATTCATAGAGCTGGAAGCGAACCAGGGACAAACACAGGCCCACCCTTCTAATGAGCAATCCTATAAAAATGCAAGATATCTGGCAACCTTTAAAGAGCTCTCCTTGGCAGGAACTGAAAAAGAAGTTATTACTCATCCTTTGCTGAACACTGAGTAGAATTCTTTCCAGCTTTTTGATGGATCTGTCCTTTGGCATAAAGTGGGAGTGGGGGAGAGGATGCCTGCAATACAGATTTAATTGGAATGAACTGGATGTACCCAGGCACATGACTTAACCAGTAGGATGATCTCTGAATTTAAATGCTTGAAGGATAGAAATTACCAGCCATGAGTGAAAAATTTATTTCCCTTCCACGCATAGCTCTTCAGGTGTCCTTTATTGTTATATGCCCTCAACTTATGGCAACCCCATGAATAAGAACTCTCCAAGATGTCCTGTCTTCAACATGCAAACATAAGCCTGTGATTCCATTAGGCAGTCAATCCATCTCATAGTTGATCTTCCTCTTTTCCTATTGTCTTCAACCTTTCCCAGCAGTATTCTCTGTTCAAGAGAATCTTGCCTTGTTGTGATGTGCCCAAAGTAGGACCTCCATTTCAACATTTTTGCCTCCCGAGATAGTTCAGGCTTGGATTTGATCTAGTTTATGTTTCTGAGTGTCTAGGCGTAGAGATAGTTCAGGCTTGATTTGATCTAATTTATGTTTCTGAGTGTCTAGGCGCATCCGCAAAACTCTTCCAGCACATTTCAAACAAACCAGGTCTCCCAGGTGTGAAGAAATGTCCATATACTTATCTTGTTGTTTTCATCATTTGAATATGAAATGACTGTCAAAATAAATTAAATCCTAAAGATTTTGAAGCAAATGTTAAAAGAAGATAACACAATTCTGCTAAAACATGCAAGGGGATGCTGATTGTATCTACTGAAACTGTATGCCTATGTGGATAGCTCAGTGGTTTAGGCATCTGGCCGTGGAGTCAGAGTTTGATTCCCCACTGTGCCTCTTTGACAGGGGCTGGACTCGCTTATCCATAGTGTCATTTCTAGCCATGCAGTTCTAAGCTGATGGTGATGATCATCATCATCAGGTCCTGGCATTTAGGATATACTAGAGTAAAAGTATAGTTTCCATTCTCCATTCCTAAAAGTTCTTTGGCACAGCAGCCTCAAAATGCAGCTAACAGGATAAGACAGACTTCAGTCTTGCACACACACCGTTTGCTTACATTTTAGGAGGAGTACAAGCCTGGCAAGGCCCTGGCAGAGGACGACTTGAAGAACGCCATTAGCATCCATCACTCCTTGGCCACTCAAGCATCTGACTACAACAAGAGACCCAATGTCTTCTACCTCAGGACGGCTGACTGGAGAGTCTTCCTCTTCCAGGCTCAGTGAGTAGCTGGGTTTAGCGCCCATGCGGTCTGTCAGCTGGGAGAGGAAATGGGGCACTTGCCACACAAGCTGGGGGAGGAAATGTTTTCTCTCTCCTCTTTCAGAGCCTTCAACTGCCGTCACAGCCTCCCCAGAAAGGACTCCCATTTCTCTCACTTCTCACTGTACCCTGCTCTAGCCACCCATCTGCCTTCTTTTTTAAAAACTGTTTCTTTGCCATGCTTTCAGGTTGCTTTTTGCTGTTGAAGAACTGCCAGCAATATCCATCACTATTCTCAAATGTGCTCTTTCAGGGTGGGGGCATGTTTTCCCACCCCCCACGGTCAACCCAAAGAAGCGATTTTGGGAGTACTAAACTGTGAAAAAAAACTGTGGGAGCCCTCTGAGCCTTAGGGAAGCCATGGGCTACACTCGTCACCTCATGTGTTAAGAGCGCTGTCTTGCTAGCAGCAACTACTGCCCAGAAATAAAATGCTTCCATGTCGCCAGAATGCTGTCCTTTATTGGGGCTTCAGCTCATGGCCCAGGAAGACCTTTCCCTTTTCAGGCTTCATATGCTAATATAAAACCTGGAATCAGAGAAGGCTCCAGTATTCATAGGTATGGACAGAGAAGGGCATCTCTTTACTTCAGCTTCTTCCTCTAGGAACGTGGAACAAATGCATTCTTGGATCACACGCATCAATGTGGTGGCAGCCATGTTCTCTGCCCCCCCATTTCCTGCTGCCATTGGGTCCCAAAAGAAATTCAGCCGGCCACTGCTGCCCAGCTCCACGACGCGACTGTCTCAGGTACGTCAAGGACCCGGGGCCTGATGCCTTCTGGCAGGCCCCTGGAGTCTTATGAGGTATTAGAAAGAAATGCAATAGTAACATCTGCATTAGGACTGCAAAGGGAAAGGCAAAAGAGAGGAATTTGGAGGAGGAGGAGGCACTGTCCATGTTACCTGAAGAGAAATGCATTAAGAAAGCCTTGAAAGGGAGCACAAAAAGGCTGAAGAAATTAAGTCATGTTGGGCTTGTGGGGTGGAGAAGATGTAAATGATGAGAAACAGCACGTCAGGATCTCCCCAATCACTTTGAAAGGGAAGAAAGCAGCTATAGGGCAGGCAACTGAGGCAATATAGCTTGGTGCTGGTAAATTATAGTAGTTTTTTACCCAAACGGTGGGGCGTCTTTCCCTTTCTTATTCCCCAGGAGGAGCAAATGAAGAGCCATGAGGCCAAATTCAAAGCCATGGCAGCTGAGCTGCTGGAACACCGTGCTTCCCTGCCAGAGAAGAAGGTGAAAGGCAAGGAGTATGAAGAGTTGAAGCAGAAAGAGGAGTATCTAATCTTTGAGGTCTGTGCAATGTGTGCGTGGGGGGATTGTGTAAGGGGTGCCACAGCCATTTGCAAAATTGACCAAGCCACGGTAAAAGGCTCCTCACCAGAAGGGAGTACAGGAAAGGTCACCTTCAGCTCCAAGAGTCCTCCATTGTAGGCATTGGCACCACCCAAGGAGGGAAGGCTTATGCTTTGCAGGCCCCTCATGGATTGAGCCAAGACCCATGGCTGAAGTAGCCAAGCAGATACTTTCAGCAAGTCTACCAGGGAAGCAGGACGACAACGGCTCTGGCCAAGCTTGCGGGGGGGGGCAGCCTCCCTCGGTAACTGAAGGTGTCATTTAACTCACTGGTTCTTAACCTTGGGTTACTCAGGAGTTTTGGAATGCAACTCCCAGAAGCATTCACCACGAGCTGTCCTGACTGGGGTTTCTGGGAGCTGCAGTTCAAAAGCATCCGAGTAACAAAGGTTAAGAACCACTGATTTAACTGACACTGTAAACAGAGGGCAGTGCAATTAATATCGCCATGAAGTTATTCAATCCTGTTTTGAAGCCACCCATTGGCACATTCTATGGCAGTGAATTCCTTAAGTTAATTTATGTGAAAATACATGTAACTACCAACCCTGCATTTCAGACTTCACCCATTTATATCACTCCTCCTACCCCTATGTGGCTAAGTTTATAAAGGAAATGCCTTGATGGGCATATTTTCCAGCTCTACATTTTCCCTGTCATTGAGACAGTAGGTACCATACCCAGCATTTCAGCCTAGAGTGGTCGTAATTGACCAGATAGGTGGGATATAATTAGAATAAATAAATGAAATAAATAAATGTAATCACACAAAGGGCTAGATCCAGATCAGCTCTGTTTTGGCCAGGAATTGGGACCATATTGCTTTGGTTCTCAGTTCTCATGAACCTTAGTCCAGTGTTATTAAAAGGTGATTGCATTCATTGTTAGCATCTGGAGCGCCACATATTTTCCCACCTTTGTTTTAATGCCTGCTGAAAATTAGTGGAACTTGAGTTGGTAATTTATCCCATCAAGTGCAATGAAAGTAAAATGTGACCAAGTCTGGATCTAACTGCATAGCTACTCTTGAGTGTTAAAGTCTTGTGGCACTTCAAAGACTTAACATATTTAATGTGGCAAAAGTTTTCAAGTGTTGGAGACTGTGTGTGTGTTAATTTTTTTTGCCACATGGGCATCCCATCTAGACAGTTTTGAAGGGCAGGTGGCTGCTCTTTCCAGCTCCGAGACATCCTTTGAGATTCCTTTCCTATGGACTGTTTCTCCTTGTCCATGGCTCCTTTCAAAGCTTCAGTGGGAACTTGATGGGGCACAAAGGAAGAAGTGGTGAAGGCATGAGGGTCCTCCCAGTCAGCTGCTTTTTCTGTCTCTGCAGAAGTCACGCTATGGGGTCTACGCTACACTGATGCGTGCCAAGCTGAAGACTGGCTCTGAGGACCTGGCAGCACTGGAGGCTGCCCTGTTTGAGACTGCAGGCAGCACCGAGGACAGCCTGAAGAAGTCCCAGTCCAGCCCTTCCTTAAACCAGGAGCTAGCAGGCCCGGGCCCCAGAATCAAGCGCAACAGCCGACAGGGCACAGGCAGCACTCTGCAAAAGTCCTAGATGGGCTAGCATCTGCTAGGAAAGCATCCTGCCTGTCTGGAAGAGAAAGGAAAAAAAAAAAACCTGCATGATTTTATTCTTCTTGGCTGGGCAGTATCCCCAGAGGAAGCCAGAGGACCTGTTGCTATGGACTAGCTCCTGTGCCAGTTTCACCAGTCAGGAGGAGGGGCATTATCCTATCCTGACCACAGTCCCTGTGCACGCAGCCTTTCCAGTCTTGTGTGACTCTCTGGTTCCTGCATGAGGGAAGCAAAGCAACAAGGCTGCTTTTTAGATCACACTGGAATTCCACAGTGAAAGAACTTTTTGCCGTTTCTTGCAAAAGTTTTGGAGGGTGCACTGGCTACACTGCACCCCCTTCCTCACCCACTTCTTACAGTTCTAGCGATACATTTTTCATTTTTTTAAGTACCTTACAAAATTGAACAACACTGAATTAGAGAAGGGGTAATTCTGATGCTACCAAAAAAAAAAAAAAAGACAAATGACAATTACTATATATAGTGGACAGTTCTGCCTAGTTTGAGGAAGAGGGCCTTTATCCCTCCTGCAGACCTTACACTTGCACTGGCTGCCTACAGGAGCACTAACAACTCCTGCACGGATGCCCAATTCCTTTACCACCAGCAGCTGTCCTGGACTGGCTCAGTTCTCGTTTCCACCAGCATGTGCTGGACCATTGACTTGCCCTGATCCTTGTTCAGCACTTAATAGAACTGGCCGGGATTCTCACCATGGCCAGCACTCACAGGGTATAACCAGGGATAGCAAATGCCTCCCAGGTGGCAGCCTGACAAAGCCATAGTAAGAGGGACCCATGAGCACACACCCAAACCCACAGAGTCCCTCATCTCTATGTAGGTCACCGTGGAAGGTAGGCTTGCTGGCCTGATTGGACCCTGGCCTTCATGTGGAACTTGAGAATCAGCAGCCAGAGTGACCAATCTGCATTCCTCTCCTCAAAACCCAGCAGAAAGAGAAACTAGGAGCATTTTCTATCTTTGGGCTGACTGGGGTGCATCTTGGGATGAGCTGGGTGAGGGGGGGGGAGAGAGGGAAGGGTTCCAAAGCTCCCAGGAACACTTCTACTCCCCAAATCTCTGACATGGGGTGGGGAGGGGGCATGGAAAAGGCAAGAAAAATGCCAGTGCTATCACACTCCCTGTATGGACAGCTTGCTCCCTTAACTTCAAAATTTCCAAGGGCTTTAAGGCTCTGGCTCCAGTATACTTGATTACAACTGCATCTCTGCAGTGGAAGAAGGGTACCCGAGCTGGCGGGGCAGAGAAGTTGATGTAAGCAAGCTGAGGCTGCACAGAGAGGAAGCCTAAGAGGGTTACCTATATGCTTGGGGTAGTTTTACATAGTAGATGGGAGGAGTGCGCCTCTCCCAAGGGCATGGAGCTGGCTGTTTCCAGCACTGACTCTCTGAATGTGTTGTTTTTCTTGTTTTTTATTCTACTCTGGAGTTGACTGTAAAACCAAACAAACCCTAAAGAGCTCTGTACAGTTCCTTCATTTAGTGAAGTAAAACTTACTCAAGCACCTACAGTGACCTGATTCTCCCTCAGATCCTCCCTGCACAGCCAGAAGGGGAGAAGCTGCTTTTCCATGGCTTCAGAAAATATGTTCAGCACCTGCTTTTCAGATACATACACACCTGGCCACAGGGTCATCTCACTAGGAAATGGTGATGTAGCTACAGAGGAAGACATTCCTGTTCTACATGCTTCCGCATTATCCAAAGAGGGTGAAGCAGGCCCAGAGAACAAGACTAATCACCTTGGTACAGGTGGTTATTTGGCACTCTGCACTGACCAAACAAAGAAATATGGTGTGTACTCAGAGGCTTTTGATCCGAAATGTGTACACATCCACTCAAAACAAGACAAAGAGAAAGGAGATTACCTACCTGTAACTCTGGTTCTTCAAGTAGCCCTCTGTTAATTCATACTAATGGGTTAATCTGCGCCTGAGCAGAGCAGTCTTCCGTAACTTCCACAGCTTTAAGCACTTAGTGCTGGGACCTCCCCTATATCTGGCTATATCTCCGCCTCCAGCCAGTGCTTCAGTTCTTAAAGAACTGACCACCGCTGCCCAATATGCCATGGCACACATGACGGACAGTGGGGAGGAGGGCGGGTCGTGTGAATTCACAGAGGACTACTTGAAGAACCAGAGTTACAGGTAGGTAACCTCTTTTCTCCTTCATGTCCTCTGTGAATACACATTAATGGGTGACTAGCAAGCTGACTAACCAAGAGGAGGGACGTCACGAAAGTGCAGAAGCCAGGACAGCTCACCTTACTGCAGCCTGAACCTTAAGCTGGGCAACCAGGTGGTAGGGCAAGGGAGACGGAGTGGCAGCGCGGCAGACATCCGCGGCATCCATGTGACAGAAAGGCCATTGAGGATGCTACTACTCTAGTTGAGAGAGCTCTCACTGATCTTGGAAGAAGAGTTCGTGCCAAACCATAGGGAAAGTAAATGGTCTGGTCTATCCAGTTAGACATGGTCTAAGAGAAAGCCGGTGTTCCGAAGGAGATCCAGCAAAGGTGACAGAGAAACGTTGTGAGGCCCGAAAAGTGGTCATGTAATGCACATAATATGGCAAAGCACGCTGCACGTCTAGAGCATGCAGAGCTCTCTCCAGCAGTGAAGATGGTGTGGGGAAGAAACCAGGAAGGACAGCTGGCTGGTTCAAATGGAAGACAGTAAAATACCGTAGGCAAGGTAAGGCCTGGCCATAGGGGTACTTTGCAGAAAGCAGGACCAGCTGCTAGTGCGGCCAGTCCTCCAGCCCTGCAAGCTAAGGGTACTGCCAGGAGAAAGGCAGCCTTGAGGGTTGCCAAAGAATTAACTGGAGAGACGGTCCATAGGCAGGGCGTATATTCTCTGGGCCGTGAATAGCTTGCGGGTAGAACGGGCCAGACTCAGGCAAAACAAGTGAAGGAGAAACCGAAGGAGTGCGTCCAGAGACTGTGGCCTAGTAGGCCAATGTTGTCTTGATGCAAAGGGACAGCACGCCTGCCCATAACAGGAGTACGTCAAGGTGGTAGAAGGTATGCAAGGATGACGGCGCACGTCCATTACTGTCGGGGAAGACTCCCAGCCAACAGGTAGGGGAACCCAACACCAAGATGAACCATCCACCCATGTCCTGAGACAATAGGTGAGGGACCATGTTCAGTGTGATGTATCCTGCAGGTCCCGGGAGCAGGATCAAGAACCAAACTAGTGACGCAAGCAAGCATGATGGTTGCGCACCCATGGTGGGCTCGAATGACCTGCCCTGAAGAGGGGGAAAGGTTGAAATCTGTGTAGGAGGCCCCATACCCCTTGGTCAGGAAGGCACCCTCTAAGGAGGTGCGGCCGACACCAGCTCAGGAGCTGAACATGGCACACTACTAGTTCGATCAAGATGCGAAAGCATCCCTGTCTGGAGAACCCCATCAACAACAGAGGCAAAGAAAGATGGAACAGTCGAGGGCCCGCTCGTATACAGCCACTGGATAAATGTGGCGAGGACAACACCATTCCGAAGGCATAACTAGAGAGTGCCACCCTGCATGTTCATATAACAAACTGCAGCAATCTAAACCGATGTGACCTGGACCACCCAACTGCTGGTCAAGGCACTGCCTGCCCGCATGTCTAGGGGGGAAGGTGGCTGGTAACTGGGGTTGAGGCTTTTAACGTTCCTGGAATGCTGTAGGCTGATGAGAACATCTTCAGGCTCTTGTAGTTGTTACGGCACAAAAGACTGTCACCTTCTAGAACCTGAGTAGATTATCAAGAATAACAACAATTTTCTGACTAAAAGCCATACACCAACAAACGGCAGGTCCTAACCCGTCAGTTGCTTAGATGCTGGCTTTAAGGCATATCGAGCAGCAGTGCGCTCATGATGCACCTGCAACAGTGCCTCCTAGTGATGTGGAAGGCCTGAACTGTAAGTGTACACAGGAGCTACCTGCAGGGTGGGCAGCACCAAATTCCGTAAGTGGTGAGAAGCCCCCATGGCAGAGGAGTAAGTGGCTACACGGCAGCCAAAAGTAAATAACGCCAACCAAAGAACTCTATTTGTCAACAGCAAAGGAGTGTGACCATCTGTGAGAATTGAGAGGGGTGTAGGAAGATTGGTTGGAAACTCTTCCGGCCCCCTGCGACTCATGAGTCTCAAACCTGAATGAGCCTGACCAAGCACAGGCTCAACAGTTGTAGAATGAATGGGTTAACAGCAGGTTCGGTTGAAGCTAATAGCGGCTGAGAAGCCCCCATGGCAGAGGAGTAAGTGGCTACACGGCAGCCAAAAGTAAATAACGCCAACCAAAGAACTCTTTATTTGTCAACAGTAAAGGAGTTTGACCATCTGTGAGAACTGAGAGGGGTGTAGGAAGATTGGTTGGAAACTCTTCCGCCCCCCCTGCGACTCATGAGTCTCAAACCTGAATGAGCCTGACCAAGCACAGGCTCAACAGTTGTAGAATGAATGGGTTAACAGCAGGTTCGGTTGAAGCTAATAGCGGCAGGGTTCTCAGATGGACTCTTGTGAGTCCGTTCCCTATGAGCCTATGTGGGCACTGGCAACTAAGACGAGGCCACAGGCTACTTTGTGAGCCAGCCCACTGATAAAGAGGGCTGTTTTGTTCCAAATTAACAGCCACCAGCAGGTGCTACCCCAGGCAGAAATATCACCGACTAGCAGGGCTAGTGGTGGGAGTTGCAGCCCCCCCCTTTTCAAAGGCAAAACTAGGGCTGTCAAATGCTGCCAGAAAGCTTTTGCCTCGGCACCTAACTGGTTTTAGAAATAGCAGCCACGTGAACAAGCTTTTTGATAAATGAGGGCCATTACACCAAACACCCAAGCGCGTTACCCCAGATAGGCAAAGCACTGACACACAGGGCTAGCCGCAGGAGCTGAAGGGACCCATTGTATCCCCAAAGGAAAACTCAAGCCTTACCATATGTCGCTGGCACATCTACAGCCTCGGCGTGCAGCTCCCTCTGGAAGTCTCAGCTACATGAGCAGGCGCACGAAGGCGGGTTGGTGTGCGGCACTCACAGAGGCACTTCCCATGTCAGGAAGAATCACTGAGTCAGGGACGGTGACCGGCGCTACAGGAGGCCCTTCTCCTAGGGACAGGGCGACAGAGCCCTAACTCCTGCAGGGTCAAAACAGCTGTATGAACAAGCCCCTTGAAACAAGAGGGCTGTTCTGCGCCAGCCTCCGAAGAGGCTGTACCCCACTGGAGTGGAGAGCAGGAGCTACAGAGGCCCTTCTTCTTCCAGGGCAGTCCTAAGGCTGCAGAGGTCCTGCTCACTGCGACACAGCTGTAAGAACGAACCCCTTGAAACAAGAGGGCTGTTCAATGCCAAACTCCGGAGAGGTTGTAGCTCAGCCAGGAGAATCAACGACAGGCGAGGAAGGCAGCCGGTTCTGCCAGGGGCAAGCTGAGAAGCTGTCCTCTTCTATCCTGCTGAGAGGAAATTGCAAACAGACAAAAAGGTGTTGCTCTCCAGCCTGGGGAGTAGCTTTATAAAGAAGGTAAATGAGATATTATTTCTTTAAGAGAAAAGCCCTGAGGGCTGAAATGCGGGCTTTGTAAAACCTCAACAAAGAAAAGCTAATGCCAGTTAATATTGTATCGCCCAGGCAAAAGAAACACCTTTTTACAAGTAAAGAACAAGGGAAGGTCAAGGGAAAGAAAGGAAAAGGCAAGAAAAAGAAAGATTTGTTTCTACTTGTGAAGTTCCAAACGAAGCTGCTGCTATAACAGCAGCGGTCAGAAAAAGAACTGAAGCACTGGGCTGGAGGCAGAGTTATACAGCCAGGTGTAGGGGAGGTCTCAGCACTAAGCGCTTAAAGTTGTGGAAGTTACCGAAGACTGCTCTGCTCAGGCACAGATTAACCCATTAGTGTGTATTCACAGAGGACATGAAGGAGAAACCCTGAATGGTGGCAACGATAGGCTGCATAGGAAAAAGGAAATACATCAAACAAAACAGGCAAGTTGAAGGGAAATGAAACCATGAAGATCATGAAGGAAGGTTAACTAAGGGGGCTGTCATGTGCCTTCAGGTTGGAATCCTAACCCTAACAGAGCTTTTAAGGTGAGACATTTAAGGACCGGAGTGCCACACATCCCACAAGTTTCCATGGATGAGTGCGGATTCCAACACAGGCCTTCTGAGTCCCTGTTCATTACTCTATCCACTACACCACACTAGGTATCTTACTAAGGTAGTACAAACTAAATAATGAGGGTACTTATCATTCAGAGAAGGCCTGGAAGGCTTGAGATACTGCAAAAGGTGCATTTGGAAACCTAAAACAAGGGTCCCCAACCTTTTCCCAACTGCAGACCAGCGGAAGGGTGCAGGGGTGAAGCTCATGCACATGCATGTGCACATGGCACTCAGGGGGCTCTCACACGCACGTGCACATGGCGCTCAGGGGGCACTCGCACGCACGTGCACATGGCGCTCAGGGGGGCGCTCACACACATGCACAAGCACGCTCACAGGCATGCGTGCGGCACCTGCAGGGGCACCATCCGTGCATGTGCACATCACAAGCACAGGAGAACATGCTCATGCACATGTGCATGACAGTGCTCGCAGGGGAGGTAGGAGAGCTGTGTCTGTGGCCCTCCTGGATAGGCCACAGACAGCTGCTGGGTCGCAGACCAAGGGTTGGGGACCTCTGACCTCAAGAGTACATATAATTCTTTTTCCCTCCCAGTTGGAGGAGGAGACCTTTGGGCCACAAACAACAGGCTTTGGCAGACTGCATCGGTCTCACAAGCTTCACAGTTCTGACCCCAAGCTAGAAAATAAAATTACAGTATGGAATATGTGGAGTAAACTAAAGCAGAAGCAACTGGGGGGGGGATAGTTTTCATAATAATTAACACAAAATACTGTTCACATTTATAGAAGCATCTTATAAAGAAAGACATTGGGGTGATGCTCTGAAAGCATTCAGTAATGATCAAGATTTTGTGTTCTTTGTGTGTTGATCTCCTTTCTAGTAGTTTTTTTAAAGGTCTGTTAAATAGATACCAAACAATGTAATCAGTGGCATAGTCAAGGGAAGTTCACAGGGTGGATACTGTGGAATTTTCTGAGTAACAGAGTCTGTGGTATCTGCCACCGGCATCACCCAAACTGGGCTTCCCTATTCCCCTGAAGTTCTAATACAGTGGTGCCTCGCACAACGGGCACCTCGTAGAGCGATGAATTCGCTCTACGGTGCCCGCATAGGGCGAAAATCGCAGAGCGAAGGTTGGTAAGCGGTTCGCTTACCTACCTTCGCTTTGCGACCCGCCGATCAGCTGTTAGGCGGCTTCAAAATGGCCACCGGAAGCCACAAAATGGCCACGCACAGCGTTTTTGCGCCCTCGTTAAGCAAGGGGAGGGCGCGAAAATGGCTGCCGGCCATCGGAGAAACATCGCTGTACGGTGAGTAAAGCTGCTATTGGATCGCATTAAACTAAGTTTAATGCGTTCCAATGGCTTTTTTTGATCCGTACAGCGATGTTTTCACACAGCGAGGGTTAATCCGGAACAGATTAACCTCGTTGTGCGAGGCACCACTGTATTTGCAAGAACAAGAAGAGAAATTTAGTTTACCCAGGAAAATATATAGTTGAAAACTATCTCTGTTGTAATGCAAAATATGTGCACATGACTTGGTCTGGAATGGGCAAGCACAAAAGACTTGTTCTTATTTCTTGACATGTTGCATTTATGACCTTTCGTCGTCTCATGAGGGCTGGGTATGGAAACCTTTTATCACTGCCAACAAATAAATTTGCACCATTTATTCCAGTCACAGAATTGGGCACTTTTGGAACATAGTTTTATAGTTTAAAAGATCTTAATACAGCAGTATGGATTCAGGAACTGAAAATGATTATTACCTCTGAACTTGAGATATGTGTTTTGTTAGCTTTATTGCTAGTTGTAGGGCTTACCATTGCTGGTATGAGTATGTGAACAGCAAGTTAAAAGCGCCCATGTGCCCTTCACACCTCCTTCAGCAAGAGACATTTCTGCCCAGGGAATGGGACTGCAAGCAGCCACCCAGAACCAGGACACTTGGCAGTCTCTTTGCCTACAGAAGCAGAACACTGGCATGAGCAGCATTCTTGGGAAGGTACCTTTTGTCTACTCCTAAGTGACAAGCAATTGACCAGTCATCAGATGTTAAAACTGCCCTGTAAGGGAATGGGCAAAACATCCATCACATGTTCAAATCCACCGGGAACTCTGAAATGCAAAAATCACCTTTCTATGACTAAGCGATGGGCCTGGCCAGAAAGCTTTGGAAGACAAGCTGTTGGTCCCTCTTCACATGACTGAACTAAGGGATCCAAAGTGCCCAAAGGCCTCTCTCTTTTGGCACCATCCTCCAAACCCGCCTGGGGGTTTCTGTGAAGACAAAATGCTCAGTTCCTTGAACTCCCATGGAGGAGGAGGCACAAAAAATCCAAGGAATACTGGAGGCCTGGCAAGGGATTCTATGCCATCCACTTATAAGAAAGCAAGTTCTGTTGCCCAACAGACTCCACACTTTGGCAGATAAAGTGGCTGGTACAGGGGAGAACGCAAAGGAGATCATCCAGGATCAGGATATTGGGGGTTCAGCCTGACAAAAGGCACTAGAACTAGTGCGAGTGCTGAGCACATCTCCCATGTCTGGGCCAGGCCTGGGGGTAGAGACAGCAGACAGGCTGAATAAAGACAACAGAGTCCCAGCTTTTACAAACCAGTCATTAAAACTCAGCTGATCCAGGCTCTGCATGGTATTCCCAGCTACCAACAATCCTGGAACACTGGAGCCGAAGCACGTGAAGGAAGCACCACTTCCCCCTCTAGTTAGTCCGGCTCTTCCTTTTCTGTAAAGATCAGTGCACTTGCTCCTGCTGGCTGTGAGGGGAGACAGAAGGTGGCTCCAGAAAAGGCGCTGGCTGCAGCTTCCCCAATGTGGCTGCCGACTCCTCCTCTGCTGATTGACTTCCATAAGCACTGTCCTCCTTCACCTCTGAGTCAGAAAAACGTGATCAGTAAGGCCTGCCAGATCGCCCTTCCCAGGCACCTGAAGCCTCCCTTCCCCGTCTGTATCTTTACCTGCACTTTGCAGCTTGACAAAGGTCTCTGCGCTCTGCAGTAACCTCACCCCCTCCGTCAGTCCCATGGAGTCAAGGGCCTCCAGCAGGCCCTTCAGGCTACCACCAGCAAGCTGAGGAGAGAAATAATCCTGTAGATCAGAAGAGCACTCTGGTAAAGGGGATGACAGCCAAGAGCCAAGAGGGGAGTATCAACTGACCTCATAGCCAAGCAGAAGCTTCTTGCTGGGGGACTGAGTGTCCTTATAGGTCTCCACAAGACTACAGAGGCCCAACCTCTTGGCTAATTCAGCCCAGTCTGCTCCATGGCAGTCCCGATTCAGAAGCTGCTCCAGACTTTGGAAGGTGTCCATATTCAGAGACAGGATGTTCCCTAAGATATGGAGAAGGGGGGGAAAGGTTCAGGCAAGGGGAGAGGTAGCACCTATGTGTGAATGAGGAACAATATCCATTTCTCAGCCCTACACAACTTCAGTCCAGAACAGATGCATCCAATTTGGCAACCTTCCTTCTCCATGGCCAGAAACTAGCAGCAGGTGCCCCAGCTAACCTGGCATACACATCTGGCCCAATTCATGAACCAGGGAACAGGAAAGAACAAAAGAAATAGAAAGAATAAAAAGGCAAAAAACATTGTGGCACCTTAAAGACTAACCGTTACATTTTTATTGTGAGCTTTCGTAGACAAGTCCACTTCCTCAGACAGAAAAGTTCACCTACTTTGCTCAGAAGCAGCGGGAACAGCAGCAGCAGCAGCTGGTTTCTCCCTTTCAGGGCCCTGCTGTGAAGCACGTAGCAAGATCTCCCGAACCTGGAAGAAATGAAGGAGGCTCTGTGAAGTGCTCTGTTCCACAAAGGCCTATGCTACAAGGAGCCTCTCCTGCAGTATCACTTTACCATGGCGCAGATCCATGTAATCTCCACACACGCACCCAGACGGGCATGCCAGCAGCTACTACAGAAGTGGCTGATGACTACAACTCTAGAGCTACACGGAATCGGATGAAAGGCCTAGGTAGCCCACTGTTCTGCTAATCAGATGTCTGTGGGAACCCTGTAAGGGGCAGACTATGGAGCTCTTTAAGTCAGGCAGCATTCTGACAGAACGGTGGGGTAGACAAAAGGAACCATACCTGCACATTTATGAAGCCATGTAGCAGCACAGAACCACAAACCATGGTTCTGTGCTACTGCATGGCCTCATAATTATGCCACTATCGTAAGAAATCAGCTGGCTCCCAACCTCCGCTAAATGTTACCTACCTTCTTGCTAGAAGCCATGTCAAGTGGGGTGTGACCCCTGTACTGCTTCTGATCACAGGCGTTAGGAAGCCTGCTCTCCAGCTCAGCCACATGGTCTGCATTTTGCTGAGCAGTCAGTTCACAGGAACACGTCTCTCCCAGCTCCATGCCCCAATCCTCTTCCTGCTCCCCCTCTGTGTCACTGTTGGGGTTAGAGGAGGAGGAGGCGGCCAAGACAGGTTCATCATTCTCACACAGAGTATCAGCTCCTGGAAAGGCAGGTACAGAGAAATCAGCAGGACTCTTTCTTTGAGTAGAGGAAAGAAGCCAGGGGATTGGCTTGCAGGGCAACCATCAGCAGCTCCAAGTCTGACTGGACCCCTGCTGCTAGGAGCAATAGACCAAAGGGTCCAAGCACAAGATTGATCCGTGATTTATATACCCAGAGCTGGAATTTCTCAAGTCAGACGGGTATTTGCCAACAGTGGTCTAGCACCCTCCTTTTATTCTGTTTCATAATTAGCAGTACTTGCTCAGTTCTTATCTTCATTGTAAACTGACTCTACAGTTCGTTTTTCAACCCAACGAAAAACTTTAGGACACTTTTATGTTTGGCTTCAGTACAGTTGCTAATACAAAAATTCATAAGCACAGAAACTTGATCTAGGTACCCAGCAGAGGCCGTCAAAGCAAGTCATAGAGACCCTGCGCAACTGAACCACATTGTTTCTGTGTGATGGGGGTTGTATAGGGCACTTTGCATCTACTAAGCTCCGCCCAGACCCTAAGCTACATTAAGTATATTGTAAATTTGAGGAAAATCACATTATCAAGTTGATTTGGAAATGAATGGCAGCTAGGAGGAAGTCTGTTGAAGCTAGGAGGAAGTCTGCTGAAACATATTGCATCAGCAGACAAGGAAGAGGAGAAGCTACAGGTCCTGCCACAGTGGTCACCCCAACATCCAAACAAGGGAAGGCAGCCAATATGACCAAAGGTCTGAGTGTAAAGTCCATTCCAGAGGCCCATAATAAGCTCAGAATCACCAGAGAGGCAGAGATCAGAACATGAGCATGTGACCAGTTACACCTTTTCTTCATTTCTTTGCAAGCCAAGCCACCTTTTCCTCGAGCGTTGCCTGGGCCAAACCACACACAGGAAACACTACAGAACTGCATTGTTGTTATATGCTGTCAAATTGCTTCTAAGCCACAGTAACGCTAACAGGGTGTTCAAGGTATGTGAGATGTTTAAGGAGTGTTTTTGTCATGGCTCCACTCCTCCCCATTGGTGAGCTTGCATGGCTGACCAGGAACTGGACACCAGGTCCCCTTGAGTCTTCCTCCTGGCCTTCTGTATTACCTGCTTTGATTAGCATCTTCGTGAGGATTGGGGAACCCATTCCTGCAGCCAAGTGAAGCGGTGTATTTCCAGCAGATGTCTTGGCATTCACATCAGCTCCCAGCTTGACAGAGAAAGGAAAGTGGATTAATGGCAGGGAGGCAAGTGACTCATCAATAGCTCACCCTCTCCGTCCCTTTCCATCTCAGTGCAGAAAATGGGAACCCTCAACTCCACGTGACTGTGTGCAGAACCTTAAAAAGCCAAACTTCACCTGAATATAAAGAGCAGCTTAGGGGTGTAAAATTGGGGGAAGGGGGGGGGAATGGCATGGATGCAGCTACCTCCTACTTAAAACATACACAGTAGAACATCCTAGTTCAAATGGGGAGTGGGGGGGCAGGATAACTTCCCCGTTAGACCACAGGTCACTCTGCATGTATGCACGGATGTACGGTTTTAATTTGAGAACACCTCCTGATGGAGACAAAGAGTCAGGAAAAGTACTTTTTTTTTTTTTACTCTATGCCTCAAGGCAGGGTAATTAGTTCTTGGCTTTCTTCCACTTAAAAGTGCCTTCATCTTTTCTCTTAAAGTTTCATGACTCTGCTGCAACATCCTTCTGTTTTATCTCTGTAATAACAGTCCTTAGAAGTTCGATCACCATTTCAAGCTTGGTACAGAAGACACACAGTTACTACCTCTGACACACCGGTGCAGGAAGCACTGGCTTTGGAAAAATAGTTGGGAGTTTCTAGGTGGCTGCTGAAATAAGAGCTTTAACAAAGAATCAAAGGACAAAATCTTCTTGTGTAAATTTATGTTGGCAGAAATAAATGACATTATCTGGTGCCCATAAAATGTAATTCAAATTCATGGAAAGCCTCTTCTGCTCCCAATGCAGGTTCTGAGATTTTCTAAGGTTCCCCTTTTGTTCTAGGAAGCCAGGACTGGGGGGGGGGGGTTTAATACTAAAAAATTGCTGCTGGTTCACCAACACAGGTATCAGGCC